AACAGGTCCTACACTTTACAGGTTTCATTCAACAGTTGAGAACACTAGCTCATTATTACTAGAACTTTGTACTACTACTAACTGGATAGCAGCTGCAAACTTATCAACACTAAGATTTTTAGAATTTAGTAGTAAGTGGTAAAAATACTATTTGAGTAACACTACTGACAACAACAGCCACAAAAGGAACCAACATTGAGAATGCATATAGTTTGTATAACATTCCTTCATTTAATCCTTTCAATAAACTCATCAAGTAGTTAATATGATCTCCAATTTAATATTAAGAAATGCTCCAAAAAATTAAGCAACACCTACTATTACAGGGTTAATTTGTCATAGAACTGAGATAGATACTCAGGGCTTTAAATTTTCAAAGTCAATGTTCTTTATGATGTACCATACTACTAATACCAGTTTAGGAATGTGACGTAACAGGTAAACATAATTCCATGATTGTTACAACTTATGGAATAAGGTATTACCTTCACATACAGCACCACACAGAATCTTGATATAACTGATTTTTGTATAAATGAACAATTACAAGTTTTAATTCTGCCCACAGATATATTTAAAAATAAGAAATAAAAAGCTAGATTTGATTCATTTTTAAACATGTTCTACCAAAATGTTATCTTTAGCTAAACTTCCTAAGAGTATAAACAGAGTATCATCAGCTAAGACACCAAACAAATCAGAAAGACATCTATGTGGATGAACTAAGGTAGGCCAGCTATCTGTACCAGATCTAGCATACGTGCAACAATTAAAAATAGGAGAAAAAGTTACTTTAGACTCTTAAATGTTAGAGAGCATGGAACCTGGGGTGAGGTGTATAGGGAACTGCCATTCCCCTGGTTGAGGCTTTTGGGTTTCTCTTAAAGCTCAAATACAATGAAGCAGTGCCTCAAAAATTCACAAGAAAAACAACCAACCCAGAATTATCAAGTGTCACTTTAGGGAAGAAAAAAAAAGATTTTAGGCAGCAAAGTTTCAAACTCTTCCTGCATGGCATACTTTTTCTCAAGAAACTACTAAAGTTGCTCTATTAACAAGCAGAGAAAGAGAAAGAGGAGATCCAGGAATTCTCAGGGACAGTGATGGGTAAAAGAAAACACTAGCATGATAAATGTGTGGCAGGCACAGAAAGTCACCAATTTGGACGGGAGAACTCCATCAGAGCTGTAACCAGGTAAAAGTGAAAATGATAGCCACCTCTCATTGGAAAGAAAGTTACACTTCTAAACAAAGATGAATCAATGAGAGGATACATGAAAAAATATTAAGGGAACAAAAACATACTCATTTTTGTAAACATAATTATAATTACAGGAAAAATAAAACCTTATAAAAGAAAGGATTGGTAATCATGGTATGCCAAACTTCAATGGTGACAATTATTTATATATCCAAAAAATGTACGTATTGAAAACTGACAACCAACAACACTGTCAAAACTACTGGAAGGGTGAGGGAAAAAGAACTCACGTATGCTTGAGTGTGTGTGTATGTGACAGACTAAATGTAATCAAAATCTTCATTTCTATTAACAGAAATTCCACAGATATTGTCTAAAACTTTTTTAAAAAGTAAAAAATAGCAAAATAACTATAATATATTTAAAAGTCAAAGGTGAAAATTTATCTCTAGGGAGTGTGAACAGGGAAAAAGGAAGGGAGGCAAGAGCTAAGGAGGTAATTCTTTATCACAAACCTTGTTAAATGTGACTTTCTAAAGTACAGACTACTGGCCCTGACTGGTGTGGCTCAGAGGGTTGGGTGTCATCCCGCAAAGCAAGGGGTCACCTGTTCAATACCTCATAGGGGCCTGGGTTGTGGGCCAGGTCCCCAGTTGGGGGCCTGCAAGAGGCAGCCAATAGATGTTACTCTCACACACTGATGGTTCTCTCCCTCCCTTGCCCTTTCTCTAAAAAATAAATAAGTCTTTAAAAAATAAAAATAAAATCACAATGTTTTAGTTTTTAAAAATTTAGGTTAGCCCTGGCCAGGTGGCTCAGTTGATTGGAGTATTGTCCCATACACCAAAAATTTAAATATAATTTTTTAAAGTTATAAACTGAAGCCCTGGCTGGTGTAGCTCAGTGTATTGAGTGCAGGCCTGTGAACCACAAGGTGCCAGGTTCGATTCCCAGTCAGGGCACATGCCTGGGTTGCGGGCCAAGTCCCCAGTGGGAGCCATGTAAGAGGCAACCACACACTGATATTTCTCTCCCACTCTTTCTCCTTCCCCTCCTCTCTCTAATAATAAATAAATAAAATCTTTAAAATTTTTTAAAAAAATAAAATAAAATTATAAACTGAAGGAAAAATACACTAATCCAATACAATTTCCAAGTTCAGGTTAAAAGTTTTAACAAATTTTTTGTTTCAAAATAAAAGGCACAATTTCTAATACAACCAGTATATAAGGAACATTAAATTCAGAACAATGGCCTTTCTTCTGAAATGTACTTTACCAGTAGACTTAAAACTTGCTCAATTCTGTATCATTCTGCCCCACAACTGAATTCATTTTTTTCTAAGGTAGCGTTCTCTATATGATCTTACCTAAAGTTAAATTATGTGCAGTAACCATCAACTCTCAAATTCAACTTAACATAGCTTATCATGCATACATATCACTGTGTAGTGTACACACACACACACATACACACACACTTAATAGTATTTTCTTTCCTTCTAGTCGAATGAATCTCCAGATGCTCACAATTCAAGGTAGAGTGTTTTCATTGGATAGAAAATTCCTTTGTCTTTTTTCCAATTTCTTCCTACAGTTTTGGGGAAGTTCATTTTTGTTTAAGTAGATTCAGTTATTGTACTATTACAGAAAAATGAATGCCCCAAATACTTTGTTTTTACTGAAAACGTCTATGTAATGAAGTATTTCTAAGGTAGATAATGAACAGGTCAGTTATTTTTAGATGTTGTACTCTAATTATGTAGTTTGGATCTGATACATATAAATTAACAATGCTAATATTCCTCAGTGATTGCCTTTTCTTCTTTCTCTGGAAGCACATTTCTCCTATGACCATATCCCCCTCTTTTCCAGTCTACATACTAAGTTTTTGAGCCACTGCAATGTTCATGGTCACATTAAATCTAAAAAGCTATTTTGGAACGGTAGCATTTATATCAAAGGGCATTTTTAAGTTCACTGTCCTAACACTGAGGAATATTAAATTTTAGGGACAATTTTTTCATGCATTCAATGATTATTATTACACAATTACTAGGTTGGCTACTTGACAGGATTCAAAGACAGACAATTCATACTTCCAACCCTCGACAAGCTTAAAATCTAATAGAAAAGTTAAAATAAATAAATAAATAAAAGGAGAAACAAAATAGCAGCAGCAGCAATCAAGCTCAAATCTATGAGCCTATTTCTAGGTACAAAAATCCTAGGCCAACTCTAAAATAAGATGCCCTTCAAAAAAGCCAATCATTGAGGCTCACACTAGTTCCTGATTCTACTAGTCATTTTCCCAAAGTTCTTTCAGAAGCTCTTGCAAAAAACACAGAAGATGCATAGACATGTGCAAACATGAAAGGTATTGTACAACTCTTTCTAGAGTATGGAAGAAAAAAAAAGCTAGTACCGAAACCACTTTCTGCCACAGCTCGATCAGTACCTGAAGTCACTGAGTACTTACTATGTCTGAGAACTCATAAAGACCATTTGGAATACCAGAATTTTTGTTAAAGCGGCAACATTTGTATAATTTATTGGGAATATAAGGGAGCACATCTATGCAGATTAATTCAAAAGACAGGGTAAATTGTCTCCCCCAGTTAATGATGTCAGGTCACTCGTGAAAAAGAATTAGGAAAAATCAAGCAGAACTTAACAAGGCCATGGACTCTTGTGAATAAGTAGCAAAGAGTAAACCATGAAACATGAAAATATGCAGAAACACTCATTCTGAATAACCAAATCTCATTGTTGAAAAGCTATATAACACTGCATCGATATATTCATCAGAAATCCCAAACGTCTATTTCTTTGTTGAAAAGATAAATATAAAAAATAATCTACAGCACAAACAGTCTGCTTAGATTTGGAGATCAGGCGCCTTCAGAATGCTATGGCCCAACACACAGGTGTCAGCTCACCTATTTCTTATTTTGGCTTTACCTTCCTAAGTTTTTCCTTCATTGTTGTTCACTCTTGTGTGTATTTGTTTTTAAATGGCAGTGATGATGTTACACATTAATTTGCCTGAGAAATAAAGAACATGGCTGACAGTTACTTTAAATATATGTGTTCAACAAAACCTTCACCTTCCACAAAAGCATCACTTCTTCCAGTGTATTTCCCTTTTTCAAGAGTAAACTCATTTTTTTCTATTATAACCAAATACACAAAAAAATCCATTTATGCCAAAGTGATATCCTACTGAAACGTAATATTCTCACAACTGTTAACTGGGTAATCACTTTGAAAATATTACTACAAATATTTTTAAATGGCGAAGAAATAATATTTAAAATCTGGATTGAAATCAAAGCAAGGATGTAAAAACAAAAGAATAGATTATTATTATTGTAACAAATACAAAATTCATAATTTTAAAATGCAACTATGAGAACACATATAAACTAGGAAAATATAAGATCTTTAAGTACAAGCTAAGCATAAAAATCCATCCTTATGTTTTTCTAATACATAAACAAGAGACTTTCATGCACAGATTTTTTTCAACAGTATCTAATAATAAAGGTGAAAAGAAACAGTGATGGTTCTATTACGTAAATCAGCATTTTTCTATGTTGGCAAAAGGGACAAGTGAAAAACCCAATGGAAAAAAAATGACACTAACAAGACAAGGAGTGCTAACAGTTCAAATAATTTTCTATTCTATTTTCTGTAACTAACACCTGATTCTCACTTTTGCTTTATAAGGATTTTTGTTCTTCATCTTGTTCTTGTGTGTATTTTTTAATGATAGTGATGATGTTACACATGTGACTTGCCTGGGTGAGAAATGAAAGGAACAGAACCAAAAGGATCTTCTGGAGGATGGTTATGTGGAGCAGAAAGTGGGTCTACATTCTTATCTGAGGATGCTTTCTCCTTGAGCCTGTCTGCAAAAATAAGATGAAACAAAAAATAAAATAAAATAAAATAAAAACAAACCGGTGTTTAAAAAAATTTTTAAGCAGTTTACAGTAAAAATTAAAGTGAAAATTAAACAAAGGAACAGCTTACATTAAATTCAGAGTTTATTTTTGTAAGTATTCCAGGTAGTCCTGAGTTTCATATACATTTGTTGCTTCAAAAGCAAGCTTAACAACGTAATCTCAGGACTAGATTTCACTAAATACAATTAACCTAATAACTTGGTTTAGTTAATCTAAACATCAGTTGTCTTTAACTTGTAACATATTAGACCTGAACTAAACCCAGCTTACTAAACAAGATATATTTGGCAGACTTTCTCCTTAAGTAAATATGGAAAAATATTACAAATGGTCTCTCATTCATAAAATAAGTAAATCCTCTTCTCAATAGCAATAAAAGATAATTCACTATATTCTACATTATTGTTCATTTCCCATGTTATTTTGTAGTTATTAAACTATTCGCATACACAGAGGCACAAAGATATAGATATCTCTCTACTAAATTAAATGCCTTAATGACGTAATTTATTCGTCCAACAAATTTTTCAGCATTTCTATTGGGCATGCAACATCAAAAACAAACAAACAAAAAAACAAAAGATGCAATAAGCAACTAAGAAATACAAATGCAGTATGTTAAAAACAAATAAACCTACAGAGAAAAATGTACTAGTCCCTGCACAGGGTGAAAGGAATTAAGGGAGATACTAATCAGATGGTTCAGGGAAGGGTCCTAAGATCCTGTGCTTCCATAAGCTCCCAGGTGATGCGTGACAGTCCTGGTCCAGGGAGCACAGTGTTGAGAAGGCCGAACCTAAGAGTCTCCAATGTCCTGAATATACCTGTACTTAATCACTGCTCTGAGCTACTAATTCTGAAATATCATTATGATAATAGATAATAATAACTAGCTTTTATAGCTAAAACTGCAAAATCCACATGAAACTTCAGGTTTAAATTTTTACTTAAAACTCTGTGTTTTACTTAAAACTCTTAATAAACATTTTGTTAAGGAAACACATCTGACAATTCATGCATACGCAAAACTCCCAAAACTTAAAAGCTAGTTTTCAAATTCAATACTACAATGTATAACAAGGAAATTTTACTTTAGATGTTCTTTTCCAGAATATTAACTGTATACTAGATTCGGGAGATCAATAACAAATGCTGACTGTACTATAAAAAAAGTTTTTTTAATAATATTTTGTTGCTCAACACTTACTGAAGAGAAGTCAGTCTCTGCACACTGCACTGTGTGCCCATCAAAGGCAATGCACTATACCGATCACATATCATTATAATCTACACTGGAAACCTATATGACCTTATTAACCAATGTCACCCCAATAAATTCAATAAAAATAAGATTAAATAAAAATAATTTCTGAACATTAAAAAAAGAGAGAAGTTAGTCTCATAGCATATTTCTGAAAAAAGAAGGCTGGAGAATACATAACCAAGAGTCTTTATTATAATGGGAAACCATAATCATACCGTAAGGAGAGGCCCCCAAACACCACTGAATCATACAGGGTACTTGTGGTTACCAATGTTATGAGGCCCTGAGTGCATTTGTAGAGTAGTTTTAAAACCAGAAACTGTTTCTTGTATTAGAGTCTTAGACACCCCCATTTGTTCTTCATTTCCCAAATTCTGGCGCACAAGAGAGAACAAAGGAAAGAGGCAGAATGGTGAACGAATGGAGAGACTGTCTCAGCGTGATAGCCACAGCATACCACAACCCAAGAGCCCTCATTCTTGAAAATAAAGACAGGGTACATAGGTACTTAGATCTAAATCAGGGCCAGACTTCCTTCCTAAACCTGCATCAACTGTAATGGCCAGAATTCCTGTGTAAAAGGTGGTTACCCGGAACCTACCACAGACCTAATGAAGCAGAATATCTAGGTGGGTAATTTGGGAATCTACATTTTAACATAATGGTCAGATTTATAAACTACCAGTGGTACCCAGAATATAAAAATGCAAAGTTACCACTAAGATTCTTTAAATCCTCACATGCTGGTGGGTGAATTCATGGTAAATGTACAAATAGTATCATGTAGTGATGATAAGAGTACAAACATTATCATAGAGGAGTAAACTAATATTTTTATATAGGAGTCCCCATAACTAAAAATACGGAGACATCATTCAATGCAAAGTCCATTTATCCAGTTACCTTGAAACAGGTAACAAGATATCTCACTGTTCCACAAAACACAGAATTAATTTTTCCATGGAAGATTTATAAAGGTCATTTAGATTTCCAAAGTCCGAATGATAATCTGGCTCCAGGGCACAAAATACAAGATAAATACACATATTAATATTGTAAATGATCAATTATGTAATCTATTATATACAAAGAAAAACTAATGAAATGTTATATAGAGTTACTTTTCAAATACACAGTGACCTCTAAAATATATTTAAGTTCCATTTTCCAGAGACTGGTTTTCTTTACATCAGAGCAAAACTTTTCTTTGATTTTTTAAAATATAAGAACTTACCTCTTCCTGCCTTCCCAAAAGAATTGTGTTGGTGAATAAAGGAAGTATCTTTTCAATAATTTTAATTGACATACATGGCAAAAATCCAGGATTTAAAAATCCTAGAATCAAAGTATATTCCATAAAATCTACCATCAGAAAAGTTTAATTACTCTAAAACATTAATTCAGTGGCTTATAGGACTAATAGCTTGAACAGTCAGGAGGTTAGTAAATAAGGTTTAAAAGTACAATCTTCATCTGATACTTTTGAAACTGTTCTAATACATGAGAAAATTTTTGTTATTCTGTTCTGAAGGAAACTTAATAGGTCTGAATTAGCTTAAACTGATGAAGAGTTAATATTTTACAACAAACTAATTATATATACAGATGTTTATATATATTTTATTCTGTGGCTTCACAGAAAAAATAACACATTAAGTAGAATTTACAAAACAGCCACAGTCTTTAGTTTCTTCTATTCTTTTAGCTTTGATGTAATTTGAAAGAAAAAACAATAAATCCACCATCAACAAAAAATTCCATTCATTAATGATTTTTAATTAACATGTAGAGCTACACAACTATTTGAACAAGTGCAAGTTAAACATTTTCCCAAAGGAAACGTCTGTATTTTAATTAGCATTTAATGTGTTAAATATTATGACAATTACATTTCTAAAGTTTACATACTAAGCTGGATGTTTTGGTACATAGACAATAAAAAACATAAACTTAAAATTTTTTAATCTCACTGAGACCAGCTTTATTAATAATGGTCTAATTCTGATTTAATGTTTTGGTCTTAAATAGGAACAAGTAAAAAAACTCAGAACCATAAATAACATTCAGTTACACTAAACACAAAAGCAAGGAGGATCTGGTTTATTTTCCAAGCTAAATCCCTTTGCTGCATGGTATATGGAATCAACTGTTTTCTTCAAGATCACTAAAGAAGAATTTTTGTTACAATTTTGGAATATATTTTGAAGTTTTAATGTCTCAAAATATGTTATTTTAAAGTTACCTTCTGGATAATACACATAAATAAAGTATTTCCTAGGTACCATATCTTTTTTCTTTTCTTGTTTAGTAAATAGCCAAGTACCACTTTAAAACTAAAACCTAAAATAAGAATGTATTATTGTGAACAATAATTACACAGCAATGGCTATATTTTTAAGGACCACACAAAAAGTATTCAGTTTCTCACTTGAAAGCTTCTCATAAACCAAATATAAATTATTTCACAAAGGCCTTAGAAAATTGGTGATACATAACTAACTGCCTGAGAGAAGGAAAAGAAGAATTTAATATGTCAAATACATCCATGATGTATTTACTCATTTTGGGAAAGTTGTTAGAGACAGAGAAACCAACAATAATGACCAACAATCAACTTTCATTACTACACTGTTAGTTTCTACAGAAACTCTTAAGTTTCTGCAAAAAGTCTTTAGCCCATCAGTGTAATTTAAACTTGATCTATCAACTAGATCAAATATTAGCTATCTTACTGCTTATGAGTGAAAGAGTGTTAGAGATGACTGAATATTAATTACAGTTGATAAAATATTGGGAGGAAGACTTTCTAAATTATATTCGATACATTACTGATTCTTTTATATATTGTACTAAAGACATTTCTTTCACCTTTCTTGAACACCATTATTATGACTTTCAATTATTAAGGGAAAAACACATTTTTCTGTATCTCCTTCCTTGCTGTTACCTGTCCCTCTTGATACTGTGTTTGTACACAAAGTCATTTCTAATTTGGTTTATTAATTGCCTGCTCGTAAAACTGACAGTTTAAATATAATTTTAAATGCTGGTTAAAGGGCAATAACTTCATAGGCTGGAGCATAAAGACTTATGCAGAAGGTAAGAAAAGGGGAAGTGGCATTTTATTGAATGCCCAGACTCTTTAAAGACATTATTTCATTAATTTTCTTGAGAACCCTGAGGTAAAAGCATTATTACACTCAACTTTTAAATGAGGAAATGACACAGCAGTTAAGTGACTTGAATGAGATTACAACCTAGTTAAATGGCACTGTCAGGGATCAAAATTCATATTTTCAGGTGCGATATGCCAATTTCAGTGTGTCAGCCTGTGACAGTGATTTCTGTAATTCAGGGACCATTCAGGCAGTCTTCCAAATAGATGAGCTGCTCCAAGCCTGACGACCTTCACATAAAGTTCCCCCTGCACTTTCACTTGGAACATAACATCTCACCATAACGAACACCACAATGAAGACTGAACTCTCTCTAGCATACACGTGTGCACAAATACATACACAAACTGCACACATTATCTAACCCTGACGTTGGAAAGCAAATAGTCCATTAAGAATTTTAGCATAAAAATTTAAGTTGAATCAATGTTCATGAAGTTCTGTATACATGAATATTTATAAGCCATTCTTGCCTATATAAAGCAAAGAAAACTTGGGTGTCATTCCAAATTCTAGGAAGCTTAAAATAACATATTTTTATAAGGTCAATATAATGGGAACTCTACCCATTCTATAAACTGTTTTTTTCAAAAAAGAGTTTTTTTGCCCAAGGAATAAGAAAATACTGAGTTAGCAAACCACTGGTTACTATCATGATCAGAAAACATTAAAATGAGTGTTTTAATTTTTCCTATTGCTTTAAAAATAATCCTATAAATGATAATGTTCTGGTGATCCCCTGCTCCCTGCCAACCCCCCAAAAGAGACACTGTTTCCTTTTCCAAACCTTGCTTTTGAGGTCACGCAACATAAATTGTAGAAAAATGTCAAACAAAAATGTTATGGTTAAAAAAATTGTAAAAAATACAGGTAAGATTGGTTTTACCAAAGTTAATAAACCTTTATAAAGGCTCAGAACTTATTTTATATCTGCATTTAATCATCAATTTAATTTTTGATAATCATATAACCAATGTGTAAAATACAAATTCAAATCTAAACTATTCTTACACAAATTCAGGGCATTTAAAATTTTACATAAAGTATATACCAATTTGGAACAAGGCATTTCATCTAATAAATGTTCTCGTAAGGCCAGTTACCCAAAGCACAATAGAGAGTAGGAATGATAACCAGGGACCCCTAAGACCTTCTTTCCACATGCAAAAATGGGTAAATACACTTGGATGTGTGTACACATGTGTACACACTCCCCTCAGAAACCTGAAAATTATCTACACACTCCAGAAATAAGCCTTTTGCTCCTATTTGGCAACCTCCTCCAAATAGCCCACGGGGCCCTGTTCCTGAAAGGAACTCTTCTAATGTGTATCGCGAGGATTAACACATATTTAGGTAGTTTAAGAAAAAGCAATGATTCCAAGTAAAAACAGTGAGATAGCTGATTTAAAGTGGAAAAGAATTTATTTAATTTTTGCCATATCAGGACAACACAGCAGCCCTTTTACGCCACCACTCATTAAAAGGGCATCCCAAAACATTAACATAATGTAGTAGCCCATATTTCCTTTCAGGCACTTTCAAAGGGCATCTCAGACTCACAATATCTTCTACTGAGTGTGCCAAAAACAGAGCTGCAAAATAGCTATTAGTAAGGCGAGATACTAATGTCTCTGTTTTTATTTGAATGTTAATTTTCCATGTTTTGGAGATATTCTGAACTTAACATTCAAAGATATGCAATATATTTAAGTGTTAAGAACTAGTATATTAGCAGCAATCTTGGGTTTAATAGCTACTATCAAGCAATTGAGTTCTAGTGCACACAGCATAGTTTAGAGTACATATAAAAGAAGGTGGCCTGATTTTTGCCCTCAAATGCACAAAAAGAATTTTCTATTTAACCCCTTAAAACAGTCTTTGGCCTTGCTGAATAATTATAGAGCTGTTATTTTACTGTGAAGCAAAATAAGCCTTCAAGTGTCCCTTACTTGATCTTAGAAGGTCAAATTCTCTGTCCAACAGTTCTTCTTCTGTTAACTTAGAGAAATTATCCTCTCCAAAAGGATTCCACCCTGACATATCAGGTGGGTTACTGATGTTCTTCTGATTTGTAATATTTGCAACTGCCTCTTTATCAGCAACTGACCTAGAGTAATAATTAAGAGAGGGAAAGGAAGAAGAGAAACATTAGAACTGAATTTTTAAATGCCATACTTTATAAATGCTTACAAAAGTGGATCTTCTATTATGACGGAGATGGCAGAGGAGGACATAGGTTGAGGGAAAGACCACCTGGGACATGAGCGGGCTCCGTTCAGTGCACCAGCTATGTGCACTCAGGGGAGTACCTTAACCTCTCCACGTCCCAGCCTCATCTATAAAACCGGAGGAACACTGTCTGCCTCATAGGATCACTGAGTGGATTAAGTGATTTAACGCAGGTTAAGCAAAAAGAACAGTGTCTGGTAAAAAAAATAATAGTAAGTACTCAATAACTATTAACTATTATTATCATAGTTCATAAGCCTTGAAGGGAAAATCAATAGCCATATCAAACAGTCAGCACTTTAAAATTACTACTTAGTAAGGTGATCCTATGTCCTGGTTGAGAAACCACAATTACTTTCCTTTTGACAAAAGTATTCTCTATGTAGCTACCAACAAGTGATTAACTGCTAGAATTGCTTTATGAATTAGCTAAATATATGAGTTATTTTCTATGTAATAAATCTTAGGTGGTATTTGAAATCTCTATAGTCTGAAGCCTGGGACCACTGGTTCTATGAAAGTTACCTAATAGATCTCTTGGCTTTTAAGAGAAGATGAAAGTCTAAAGACTTCTTAACCTAAGGATCCCTGGCTACCTCTCCCTTCGATTCCACCTGTGAATACAGCAAGGAATAAGACAACGTAACAAAGTTGTCAAGTTCATTTCTAATTGAGATCCAGATTTCCTAATATTGGTAATGAAGGAACAATCTCTATGAGCTTCCAAAGAAGAATCTCTACTTTGCAAGCCTTGACATCCCCTCAAATTCACCTGCCCCTTGGGAGCTCACTGCCACGGTCTCCACACGTCGTAAGGGGAAGAAAGGGCAAAAGGTGTTCGTTTTATCCCCTAGTCCGAGCCCCCTCAGTATAGCTGACCCAAAAATGAAATTCTTAAACAATCACTGAAAGCTAGAGGAAAATAAACATAGTAATTCCCCAACAAGATTATAAATATAATTCAGTAGAACTCACTCTGGGAATGCACCAAGGTTTAAGTCTATCTCTATGTGACAGATTCCCATCTCTAACTTCAAAACTACCTTCAAGGAGCTTAAAACTCTAAGAAAAAAAGGCATTCCCCTCCTGCCTGTCAATCCCTTTCAGAACATTCCAATTCCTATCTGAATCATCCCCCTCCTGTTCCTGGGGTGAATTAATGGAATCTTCTCGGTGGAATGTAACTCAGAGGGGCTGCAGTGAGGGAGGGGTGCCCTTAAACAGGTGTTAAAATATGTCTACAAGTTCTCTGACACTCGGCCCTTCCAAGGGCAGAACTAAATCCGCTGCCCTTCATCATGGTCTAGAATTAGTGACTTGATTCTAACAAATGAACTATGACTGAAAAATGGGCAGTGTTTGACTAGGTCATGAAAGGCGCTGGAGGTTCCTTCTAACCCTTTCTTTTGGTCCCCTCACTCTGGGAGAAACCGGAATAATTGATTCCCTGTTCAAAATAGTCTTTGGGTCTACTAAGGAGACTACTTAAGCAGCTTTTTGGAGAGATCCACTGGCACAGAACTGAGGCCTCCTGCTCAAAGTTGTGAGTGAGCCTTTTGATCCTCCAGCCCCAGCCAAGCCTTCAGCTGACTGCAGCTCCAGCCAACATCGTAACTGTAACCTCATGAGAGGCCCTTCCCTGCATATAACCATGTAACTGAGCCACTCCTAAATTCCTGATCCAAAGAAAGTGTGTGAGATGTCTGTCATTGTTTTAAACCACTAACTTTTACAATAATTTATTATTTAGCAACAAATAACTAACACACCGGGTGATTTATATAGTAAGATAATACATGCATAGATAGATGTTTTAAGTATTATTTGAATAGAACATGGTAATACTCTCCAATATTCTTACTAAAGCTCTAGTAAAACACAGTGGAGGGTAGAAATCTTAGCAGAAGATTACATCAGAAATAAAAGAAAATAATAATGCTCAACAAGAGTGTGACCTTTCCCTCTGTCTGAGGAAGTACTCCCTTTCCCATCTTCTACTCAAACATCCCTTACGCACTCAGGGCCCAACATTTAAACCCAATTCTCCTCTTCCACTAACTTAGTCATAAGCAGGAATATTTGCTTAAGACCACCTTTTAAATTGTTACAATAGATACTACTCAACATACAATCCTTTGTATAAAGGCTAACATTAAACAGGAACAGTAATAGTGAAGTAGGATTGAAGCACCAAGCCTGTGTGAAGTCCTGTGTTCCCAATGTCGATCTGCCAAGCTTGTAATTGGTTCTACCCATCTAGTCACTGCCCCTCTCCTGCACCTTCTCCTGCACCTCCTTCAACACACAACGTCATGGGAGTGGAGCAGAAATAAGCCTTAAACAGATAGCCAACCCGATGTTTCCCAAACTGAGATATGCAAAATAATTTTGATGCTAAAAGTTTTTTTAACTTTAAAATTAAACAGAAATTAGAAAAATACTTTGACTCCATGAACGGTATCACTAGACATGAGATTTAAGTAGACAGCACTATGGTAATTACATGAGTTAGAGGTATAGGCACCTCGGTGCTTATGTGGGCCTCAAATCTCTGGATACTCATCTTCCTTTACGACCAATCAGAAGTTTAGATAACAATATGCTATGGAACACTAATATGAATTCTCTCATGAATTTAAAATTCATGACTCCATTCTTGTCAGTGACACTTTACTTCCAAAGGTTGTAATCCTTTAGAATACAAAGTACTGTAAAGAATATGTAAGTATTTGCTGTACCAAAGAGATTACAGTTTAATATTTTTTTCATTTTTCAACCATACGCACTCAACAAAATTCACATTTTTGATGCTAGTTAACATCAAAAGAAAAAAAATCAATCATTTAATTAATACAACATCTTTAACAGTCTCTTAAACTAAATAATATCAAGCAGAATATCCTGTTTTTAATGACAAATAAAAGTATTCCATTCTTTTCTCTAGAAGACTTCTTTTCAGGTATGACTTTTTGCAAATTTATTAGATTGGTACTTACATTTCATAGATTATATTTTAGTGCTTTAATTCACTTAAAATGTATAATTTGTTTAAATTTTATTATTCACAATAATGTTATTAATTTATTAAAGAGAAAAACACCATGTGGGTAAAAAAAAAGTTGTAACTACACAAATGATAAAGAGTTTGGCAAACATCACAATCAGCTACCGGGAAGCTACAATGATCTCACTGTGAACTATATCAACATGAAAAAGGAAATGGAAATTATTAGCAAGGGCCAAGAGGAAATGAAGAATACAATTTCTGAATTAAAAAACACAGTGGAAAGCATTAAAAATAGGGTGGATGAAACAGAAGATCGGATTAGTGAATTGGAGGACAAAGTAGAAAGCATCTCACAGAAAGAACAGGAAAGGGAAAAGAGGCTCAGAAAGAATGAAGAGAGATTAAGAGAAATGCAAGACAATATGAAATGTAATAATATCCGAATAATAGGAATACCAGAAGGAGAAGAAGAAGAACAAGGGATAGAAAACATATTTGAAAGAGTAATGAGAGAAAATTTCCCTAATTTGACAAAAGAAAAAGTCACACAAATCCAGGAATCTCACAGAGTCCCATTCAAGAGGAACCCAAAGAGGCCCACTTCAAGACACATCATCATTAAAATGGCAAACTTCCAAGACAAAGAGAGAATCTTAAAGGCAGCAAGGGAGAAAAAAGAAATAACATACAAGGGCATCCCAATAAGGTTAGCCACTGACTTCTCAATGGAAACACTCCAAGCAAGAAGAGATTGGCAAGAAATATTCCAAGTAATGAGAAACAGAGGCTTACAACCAAGGCTACTTTACCCAGCAAGGCTCTCAATCAAGATAGAAGGCCAAATAAAGAGCTTCCAAGACAAAAGAAGTCTAAAAGAATTTGCTGCCACCAAGCCAGCTCTACAAGAAATAGCCTAAAAGGTCTGCTTTAAGGAAAGGAAGGAAAAGAGACAGACAGAGAGGAACACTGGTACAAAAATGGCAATGAATAAGAACCTATCAATAATAACCTTAAATGTAAATGGATTAAATGCTCCAATCAAAAAACACAGAATAGCGTCATGGATAAGAAAGTATGACCCACACATATGCTGCCTACAAGAGACCCACCTCAGGACAAAAGACCATCACAGACTAAAAGTGAAAGGCTGGAAACAAATTTTCCAAGCAAATGGACAAGAAAAAAAGCTGGGGTAGCAATTCTCATATCAGACAAAATAGACTTCAAAAAAAGAGCCATAAAGAGTGACCCAGAAGGTCACTTCATAATACTCAAGGGAAGAATCCACCAAGAAGACATTAACATCATAAATATATATGCACCCAACATAGGAGCACCAAAATATATAAGGAAAATCTTAGAGGAATTCAAGAAAGATATAGACAGCAACACAATTATAGTAGGGGATTTTAACACCCCACTATCAAAAATGGACAGATCTTCCAAACAAAATATCAACAAAGACATTGCGGCATTAAACAACACCCTTGATGAAATGGACCTAACTGATACATATAGAGCTCTTCACCCCAAAGAAGCTAAATACACATTCTTTTCAAATGCACATGGAACATTCTCAAAGATAGATCACATGATAGGGCACAAAACAAGCCTCAACAAATTCAAGAATATTGAAATCATACCAAGCATTTTCTCTGACCATAAGGGACTGAAACTGGAAACCAACCCCAAAGGAAAAAACCCAAAACACCCAAAATCATGGAGACTGAACGGTATGCTATTAAACAATGAATGGGTCAAGAATGAAATTAGGGAAGAAATCAAAAAGTTTCTGGAAACAAATGAAAATGATCTCACAATAACCCAAAACTTATGGGATACAGCCAAGGCAGTCCTGAGAGGGAAGTTTATAGCAATACAGGCCTACCTAAAGAAAACAGAAACATTTCAAACAAATGAACTTACTCTACGCCTGCAAGAACTCCAGGAACAACAACAAAAACAGCCCAAAGCAAGTAGAAGGAAGGAAATAACTAAGATCAGAGCAGAACTAAATGACATAGAGACTAAAAGTACAATTCTAAAGATCAATGAATCCAGGAGTTGGTTCTTTGAAAAAATAAACAAAATAGACAAGCCTTTAAGTAGGCTCATCAAGAAAAGAAGGGAACGGACACAAATAAACACAATCAGAAATGAAAGAGGAGAGATTACAACTGATACCACAGAAATAGAGAGGATTGTAAGAAATTACTATGAAGAACTGTATGCCAAGAAATTTGAGAACCTAGGGGAAATGGACACATTTCTAGAAAAATATAATCTCCCAAAACTCAATGAAAAAGAAGTAGAACACCTGAATAGACCAATAACAGCAAAAGAAATTGAAGCAGTAATCAAAAAACTCCCATCACACAAAAGCCCTGGACCAGATGGATTCACAGGAGAATTCTACAAAGCATTTAAGGAAGAGCTAACCCCCATTCTTCACAGACTATTCCAAAAAATCCAAAAGGATGGAAAACTCCCTAACTCCTTTTATGAAGCCAGCATCATCCTAATTCCAAAACCAGATAGAGATACAACAAAGAAAGAAAACTTCAGGCCAATATCACTGATGAACATAGACGCTAAAATCCTCAACAAAATATTAGCAAATCGCATCCAACAATATATCCAAAAGATTATACACCCTGACCAAGTGGGATTCATCCCAGGGATGCAAGGATGGTTCAACATTCGCAAAACAGTAAATGTAATTCATCACATAAACAAAAGCAAAGACAAAAACCACATGATCATATCAATAGACGCAGAAAAAGCTTTCGATAAGGTACAACACCCATTTATGATAAAAACACTCAGCAAAATGGGAATAGAGGGAACATTCCTCAATATAATAAAGGCCATTTATGAGAAACCTACAGCCAATATCATACTCAATGGACAAAAACTAAAAGCTTTTCCACTAAGATCAGGAACAAGACAAGGATGTCCACTTTCACCACTTCTATTCAATATAGTATTAGAAGTTTTGGCCACAGCGATCAGGCAGGAAAAGGAAATAAAAGGCATCCAAATAGGAAAGGAGGAAACAAAATTGTCACTGTTTGCAGATGACATGATAGTGTACATGGAAAATCCTATAGACTCTACCCAAAAACTGCTCAAACTAATTAATGAATTTGGCAAAACAGCAGGATACAAAGTCAATATCCAGAAATCAAAGGCATTTTTGTATACAAACAATGAATCAGCAGAAGTAGAAATCAAGGAAAAAATCCCATTCGATATAGCAAAAAGAAAAATAAAATATCTGGGAATAAACCTAACCAAAGAGGTAAAAGACCTGTATGCAGAAAACTACACAGCACTGAAGAAAGAAATCAGGGAAGACACAAACAAATGGAAACATATACCGTGTTCATGGACTGGAAGAATTAACATCATCAAAATGTCCATACTACCCAAAGCAATATACAGATTCAATGCAATACCTATTAAAGTACCAATGGCGTATTTCACAGACATAGAACAAACACTTCAAAAATTTATATGGAATCATAAACGAGCCCGAATAGCAGCTGCTCTTTTGAGAAAGAAGAACAAAGTAGGAGGGATCACAATACCCGATATCAAACTGTATTACAAAGCCACTGTAATCAAAACAGCCTGGTACTGGCATAAAAACAGGCACATAGACCAATGGAACAGAACAGAGAGCCCAGAAATCAACCCAACTCTCTACAGTCAATTAATATTCGACAAAGGGGGCAGTAACATAAAATGGAGTAAAGATAGCCTCTTCAGCAAATGGTGTTGGGAGAACTGGACAGCTACGTGCAAAAAAATGAAACTTGAGCACCAACTTACACCATACACCAAAATAAATTCAAGGTGGATAAAAGACTTAAATATAAGCCGTGACACCATTAAAGTCCTAGAGGAGAACATTGGCAAGAAAATCTCAGATATTCCACGCAGCAACATTTTTACAGATATGTGCCCTAGAGCAAGGAATATAAAGGAAAGAATAAACAAATGGGATCTCATCAAAATAAAAAGCTTCTGCATGGCTAAAGAAAACAGTATTAAATTAAAAAGACAACCAACTGTATGGGAAAACATATTTGCCAACGATACCTCAGACAAAGGTTTAATCTCCAAAATATACAAAGAACTTACACGACTCCACTCTAGGAAGACATCGAACCCAATTAAAAAATGGGAAAAGGACTTGAACAGACACTTCTCTAAAGAGGACATACAGAATATCCAGAGACACATGAAGAGATGCTCAATATCGTTAGCTATCAGAGAGATGCAAATTAAAACCACAATGAGATACCACTTTACACCAGTCAGGATGGCTATAATAGACAAAGCAACAAACAACAAATGTTGGAGAGGGTGTGGGGAAAAGGGGACCTTAGTTCACTAAGGTGGGATTGTAGACTGGTACAACCATTATGGAAAACAGTATGGAATTTTCTCAGAAAAATAAAAATTGACCTGCCTTTTGACCCAGCAATTCCACTGCTAGGATTATACCCCAAGAATCCTAAAACATCAATTTCAAAGAACCTATGCACCACAATGTTCATAGCAGCACAATTTACAATAGCCAAGAGATGGAAGCAACCTAGGTGCCCATCAGTAAATGAATGGATCCAAAAATTGTGGTACATATACACCATGGAATTTTATGCAGCAGAGAGAAAGAAGGAGCTACTACCTTTTGCAACAACATGGATGGAACTGGAAAGCATTATGCTGAGTGAAATAGGCCAGGCATTGAAGGACAAATACCATATGATCTCACCTTTGACAGGAAGCTAAAGAATAAAACAAACAAGCAAACAGAATAAAAACAAAGACGCTGAAATAGAGAACAAGTGGGCAGCGACCAGAGGGGAGAGGGAAGGGAACTTAAGGGGAAAAAGGGGGGAGGGATTTTGAGGAACAAGTATGAAAGACACAGAGATGAGGACTGGGGGGGGGGGGGGGAATGGGAGGGAGGGGGGGAGACCGGGCGGGGGGGGGGAAGAGAAAAAAAAAATGTACTTGAAAAGTAACTAAATAAAATTTAATATTTAAAAAAAAAAAAAAAGAGTTTGGCAAACAGATCTGGATCTTTGAACAAGCTTCAACCTTATGACCTGCTCTCCACTTAGACATACTGGTCTTAATTCATATAGTTAATTTTTGATTGAAGAGAGCATTTAATAACATCAGTTTGTTCCCTCCCTCCCTCCCTCCCAGTGGCCCCTCCCCCACAACACACAGGCTGTAAGGTATACTACAACAAACTATATACGTTAAGTCTGTCTTGACATGCTCAGTGAACGAGTACACTACTGTTTCTGTTACTCATGTCCAAGTCCTAGCCAAAGCTTATACGTACCTTTTCCCACCTCATGTTTCATACCCTGAAATAGTGTTGTATGAAAACTTATTTGATGTTCCAATAACCAAAGCTATAACAGCTACTTCCTCCTACATATCTAAACATATTAAGTATTCATAATGGTCAATGAATTCTTAATTACAAAATCCTGAAGCATTCCTCATATCAAATCTAAGTTTGAGAAAATTTATATCATAATTTTTTCATTTATTATAATGTGTTCAATATAAATTATCCATGAAAAAATCACCTACTAACCAATGCATCTGAATAACCAGAGGATACTGTTTCCCACCTGTTACAGCAACGACAAGCTTGCTGCATCACATTTTTAAAAAGAACTAAATGGCACATTAGAATTTTTTGTCAACTGTATAAATTAAGCCAAATTATACCATTTTATAAGTAAATATCAACTTCGCTGAAAACAATAACATGTAAGTTAAAAAAGTTAAATTAACTTGCCTACAAGGATTATTTTTTTAAACTAATAAAGTAGTGGCTGCTGGGTGCTACTAAATAAGCCTTTTCTACAAATAGCAATTAGTCTTTGAACAAGCCTTTTAACTAATCGAAACGTAAGGAAGGCTAGGGAAGCACAGGGAACAGAAGAGAGAACTAGAGAGAGAAAAGGGGGCACTATACAGAAAGATGGGCTCTAAAGGAATTCAGGAGCCACTGAGCGACTCTCCTCCACAGTTATACCTTCATCCACAAGAATTTCCTTTGCATTCTCTGGAAAAATACTTGCCTGTTGGCACTAGAAGAGGAGTCCAATATGGTTCCAACTTGAGCTGAAAGTGGTGAAGGATAGGAAACTAAGGCTGGTGCAAACTCTTGAGGGGAGGTAAGATACTCAGGTGATGCCTGTTGCTGAGTTTGCTGCTGATGTTGAGCTAGCATTTGCTGCTGTAAGAAAGCCTGCTGATATTGCTGCATCTGAAACAAGAAACGCCATTGTACATACCTGTTTACTGTTTCTTCTTTTCAAATTGGCAACAAAATCAGAAACTTAAAGTTACTTATACATGAAAGAGCAGTTTTCTACTAGAAAAATACAGCAAGATAAAATAAATCCAGTTAAAAATTTGTGATGCTGAGGCTAATGTGGCAGGATTCAAAAATTTCTCTTTAAATATTTTAAGAAAATAGAGTAGCTTCAAGTTTTTAGTACATGGTTACCATAAAGAAAGATCAAACTATTCTCTGAAGTGAAGGCAATTTTCTTTTGAGTTTATTTTTCTTAAATTGACATTTGCCAAGTGAAACAGAGTTGACAGAAGGTCATAGGAAACATTGATTTTCCTTATACTATGAGATAAGAAAAAAATACTATCAGTCAGTTGCAATGTGCCAAATTCAGGTGCTACAGTTGAGCCCAATTTAAAGCGGCTTGAGAATTCAGGACTGGCTTTGATAAAATACATGTAAATAACTAACTTGAACTGATTTTGAGTGATTCTGAATAATACCATTCATACTGTGAATTCCAACCGCATACTCAGAGAGATATCTCTGGAAATTACATCACACTCACCACTGCAGGATACTGTGGTACGGAAGGCTGTGGCTGATACACCGAGTGCATTAAAAACTGTTGTTGAAGCATCTGTTGCTGCTGCATTGCATGTTGATACTACAATGAGAAAAAACATCCATCAATATTTCTCATGCCTTTTTTGTGCCATATTCTTCTTTTGTTAAGTACTGATCTTACCATAACAATGATTTGGGCACTCCCAAGTCCAAACACCAATGTAAAATAGCTATGTCAGTGACTATAACTTACATGTGCTTACTGGAAATGGTTTCAAAATTATCAATGAAACATAACAGATTCAATTAAAATCATTTCCAGCCCAGTTTAAGGATGTTGCAAAGAAATCTAAACCTAAACATGTTTGCCCCTTGATGAAGATCCCGAAGCTACTTGTGTCCAGGCCTCATTACCACAAACACCCACTCCCCTCCACCTCCCCTTCAATGATGTCTTCTGGCCATCACCTACTTAACTACCCTCTACTCTGGGTGTATCAGTCAAGACCAGAGGAGGGAGGCACCAATGAGAAGTGCCATGCACAGAACTGATTCAAAACTATTTCAAGAAATGATGAAAGGATGATGGTAACAGTGATTAAGTTTAAAATAGTTCAGTGAAACCAGATTATTTGCAGGTTCTGCTGAGGCAAAGAATAGAACTTAAGGTCATTTTTTTACTTTGTTCCTTTTAACTTTAAATGCCTGCCTCCAGCATACACAAACACACCAACCCAGGCAAAAATATAAGAAAAAAACCTAACACAATGTAATTCTGAAAGCTTAAATATCACCTTTCCCACAACAACTAATTATAGTCTATGTATCTGAACTCAAAATGAAACTAAAAAAAATTATCGTAGATTGCAGGACCTACTTATGATGCCAAATGACTAGATGAACAATCTGCATAAAGCCATGATATAATATTTCAGCAGAGTATTCTTAAGCAGCTCACAGAGCACAAATAAAATATTCTTTAATAGAAAATTGAGCAAAATGTTTACTTTGATTTAGACTTCAGGTACCCATGATAACAAAAGGAATTCACTGCTCTGACCGGTGTGGCTCAGTATATTGAGAACCAGACTGCAAAGCAAAGGGTTGCCTGTTCGATCGCCAGTCAGGGCACATGCCTGGGTTGTAGGCTGGGTCCCCGGTTGCAGACGAGTGAGGGGCAACCACACATTAATGTTTCTCTCCATCTCTTTCTCCCTTCCCTCTCTCTAAAAAAAATAAAATATTAACAACCAAAAAAAAAAGGAATTCACTGACATTCAAGACCTGCATGAATTTCCCAACACTACTTTCAAATCTAAAGTAATAAAAGAATTACCTGCTGCATATAAGCATCCTGCTGCTGCTGCTGCTGCTGCTGGTGAGGATGACGGTGCTGTAAATGCAGTTGCTGCAATCTCCAATCTCCTTGTTGCAGTTGCTGAAGTACTCTGTGTTGCTGCGGAGGCTGCTGAGGGGGTCCCTGACCCAGCAAAATCTCAGGGCCGCTTCCAGGTCTCAGTGCTCCTGAAAGAGGTTTCCAAACACTTACATCAACATACTCATGGACTTCAATATAATACCTGTATTTCAGAATACTTAATTTCAATAATCATTTAACCAAAGCCTTTACATCTATATTTTATATATAATACAGATACTTCCAAAGCATATAGTCCAATGGAATTATTTACTGTAATTCTAAGTACCTGTGGAAGTTAATTTTGTCAACTGCAACTCTGATCCAGTCGAAGTCTTAGAAACATTTCATCTGTTACACTTCATCTCTCCCTGAACAAACCAGCCAGGTCAGTTTGTTGTATATTTCTAAATCATATCATGCACTGATATGAGTCTTTGCGAAAATGATTCTCTCCATCTACGATGTTATTTTCTTTTTTTTTTTAATTTTTTTTTTAAATTTTATTCATTTTTGACTTCCGCCAAGATGGAGGTTTAGCTGGATGTGCCGTGCCTCCTCACACAACCAAGTTTAGGGACAACTAAATATTAGCATCAGAAAACACAACCAGAACACGGAAAACTGAACTTTTCGGAAGTCCGCTAACAACAAATTCTTCAGCCCGACCGGTAAGGGGCGAAACCGGCGTTGGGTGAGGACTTACAAAGGAGGGCTCGGTCGGACCCAGGCGCGGAATCCAGACGCACGAATCCAGTCGCACGGGTTCCAAACCCAGGATTGGACCTAGTGAGCGACCGAGCAGCCCACCGGGTGAGCGACCGAGCAGCCCACCGGGTGAGCGACTACAGAGGACACAGTGGGGAGGCGGTGGCAGCGAGTTGACTGTGGTTGCCTGGTTGCGCGCGAGTGAGGGAGTGAGCGGTTGGACCGGCCCAGGGGTGGCGGGGTCGGCGGCGGCGCGCCATTTCCCCGCTCTGACCACGCCCCCCACATACAGCGTCACAACCCAGCGACCTGGGACTCCAAGGCGCCGCTTTTCCCACTTAAAGGGCCAGAACAGACCAAAAATGTCGCAGGCAGAACTCAAAGCCCCAGAGATAAATCTAAATGACGAAGAAATAGCAAAACTCTCAGACGCACAGTTTAAAACACTGGTCATCACCTTCCTCACAGATCTGGTGGATTATAGCCACAAATTAGAGAAACATATGAAGGCTAAATTAAGGGAAATGAATGGAATTCCACAGGAAACCCATAGAGATGAAAAGGAAACTGGGACTCAAATCAATGAAGTGGACCAGAAGGAAGAAAAAAGTGATCAAACAGAAAGGAATGAAGAAATAAGAATTCAGAAAAATGAGGAGAAGCTTAGGAACCTCCAGGACATCTTTAAACGCTCCAATATCCGAATTATAGGGGTACCAGAAGGGGGAAAGACACAACCACCAGTGGAAAAACTATTTGAACAAATAATAAAAGAAAATTTCCCCAATCTGGCAAAGGAAATAGACTTCCAAGAAATCCAAGAAGCCCAGAGAGTACCAAAAAAGTTGGACTCAAGAAGAAACACACCAAGGCATATCATAATTACATTAGCCAAAATTAAAATGAAGGAAAGAATCCTGGAAGCAGCAAGAGCTAAGGGGACAATCACCTACAAAGGAGTCCCCGTCAGGCTGTCAGCAGATTTCTCAAAAGAGACCTTACAGGCAAGAAGGGGCTGGAAAGAAATATTCCAAGTCATGAAATCTAAAGACCTACAACCAAGATTGCTCTACCCAGCAAAACTTTCATTTAGAACGGAAGGACAGATAAGGTGCTTCTCAGATAAGACCAAATTCAAGGAGTTCATCATCACCAAGCCCTTATTATATGAAATGTTAAAGGGACTTATCTAAGAAAAAGAAATTAAAGAAACATGAACAGTGAAAGGACAACAAACTCACAGTTATTAACAACCACACCTAAAACAAAAGCAAACTCAAAGGACAGCTAGAGCAGGAGTGGAAACATAGAAATGAAGATCTCAAGGAGGGTTAGCAACAGGGGAGTGGGAGGAGGAGATAGGGGGAGAAGGTACAGAAAACAAGTAGCATAGACAGTAGATAGAAAATAGATGGGGGGGGGCGAGAATAGTATGGGAAATATAGAACCTAAAGGACTTGAGACACATGGACATAAACTAAAGGGGGGTGATGGTGGGGTTGGGGGGGCAGGGTGGAGGGGAATGAAGGGGGGAATAGAACAACTGTAACAGCATAATCAATTCAAAAAAATAAATAAATTTAAAAAAATAAATTTTATTCATTTTTCATACCATTTATTTATTTATTTATTTATTTATTTATTTATTTATCTATCTTTAGAAAGGAAGGGAAGGAGAGAGGGAGAGTAACATCAATGTGTGGTTGCCTTTTGTGTGTCCCCCGCTGGAAACTGGCCTGCAGGGAAGTAGCCTGAAACCAAGGCATGTGCCCTGGCTGGGAATTGAACCGCGATCATCTGGTTCGCAGGCCTGTGTACGATGTTATTTTCCAGCAAATGAAAATCTTATCCTTTAAAATTGATCTCAAATCTCTCTTCCTTATTCCTTCACCCAATACTTCCACTCAGTTTGTAATATTTCATGCTTTGCACATATTAATTGCTTGATGGCTATTTCCTAACTAGGGCCCCAGAGGGACCGGGTAATAATTTATTTCTTAGCATCCCTTTTACATAACAGATACTCAATAAATGTTATGTAGGGAATGTATTAACACTGTTGCCTAAATGGATATTTATTTGTAAGCTTTGTAAATTTTACCCTAGAAAACTCCTGTGAATAAATTTTTGAAATTAATGAAAAAGACACATATAACACCAGAAAAAGAAATACACTATAATTTCCATATCCTCTTCCAATGAGTTACAATGCATAAATTCAAATGCAACTCTTTAATCCTACGGGAAAAAAGGGAGAGTTCGAGGAGGGAGCAAAGGGTTCTTTCTCATCAATATCAGTACCTCCAACCTCTCTAGGCCTGAGGTATGACGCCTCTATGACAACAGCTTTGTAACTATTTCTAATTCTTTCATTTATAAGAAACTGCTTATTCATTTTAACTACTCCTAAAAATATTTATAAATTTATAAGGAAAATTAAAACCATGATTATACCACAGACATAACCAACATTAGCCTTTTTAGTATATTGTTTCTAGTTGAAAGAGTATTAAAACGTTAAGCACCTCAGCTACACATTCTTTTAGGATTCTGATGTCTAAGTGAAGAGCAACGTGGCTGGGGGTGAAACTAACCAATGACCGACGTGCAATCAACTGACCCATGAGGCTCACCTCTCATCTCACCAACTATGACTTTTCTTTAGTGTCATCAAGCTAAAGAAAGCCCCTTATCCTCAAGCCAAAGCCACAGAGCCCCAGGTAACACCCACCAACATCAGGACAAGCCCACAGAACATCATCAAATCCTCCTGCCGTTACTCCCCATTTGGCAAATGATGAAGTTAAGGCTCAAAGGAATTAAGTAAATTCACAAATAAAGTTAAAGACAAGTGACAAACTAGAAACAAATATTTCTAGTATATCTGGCAAAGAGCTAATATTCAAAATACATAAAAATAAAAGCTTCAGAGCAATAAAAATATAAACAGTACCATAAAAACTATAAAAGATAATTGACAGAAGAGAAAAAATGGCCAGTAAACATAAGAAAAGGCACTATTAATGACGAATATTAAAACGTAAAGTTTCACCTGTCGATAGGGAAACATTTTTAAATACTGATGTTGTTGCCTGTTAACAAGGATGGGACGAAAGGGCGCTCACGCCGCTGACGGCAGTGTAGTGGGTTCTCAAGTCTTTCTGGACAACAATTTGGCCTGACAAGTTTTGATTATGTATACTTTTCAACATCTCCCTCAGAAAAATGTTCTAACATGTAAATCAAAACTCTGTTACAAGAATGTTTACCCTGACCCTATTAATAATAGTAAATATTGGATGCACACTAAACTGCTTCAAGTTTAATCTGGGAAGAAAAAGAAGGGAGACCTTTAGATTTTTCTCTGAATATGCCTGTATTGTCTCAATATTTTAAAAGAATAGATTTGTGTATTCCTCTCTGTACACATGCAGAAAACAGTATGGTTTTTCCAGCTTAGGCTGGAAGCACATACGAGAAACACTGCCCCAACGCGGGAGCAGGCCTGACACTCATGGCCAGGTCTTGGTGCTCACCAGAGGAATGCAATTTCAGAAAACACTGCCATCATCAGGCAAAGTCACCCTGTGGCCATGATGGGTCAGGACAAGACCACTCTGTAATGATGTCTGAGGTGGCTCTGGAGCAATGGATAGCACATAGGACTTCTATGATCATGTCTGAGCATCAACAAAATCAGGACCATCGTCCGAACCACAGACATGACCAAACCTCTCCCTGTCTTGCCTCATATGACTCAGCGCTGCTTCTTCACCAAGAGGCCTTGGCTTCCCTCCTTCTAGGTAAGATTTATTAAGATACCTAAGGATACCTTAACCCCCACCCCTGAATGCTTCCATCCAGAGCAAAGCCCCACTTCCTTAAAGCTTTTCCCAAACTATCAGCAACAAGCGAAAATCCTTTAATAAGGCTTTTCAAACATCATCTTACTGACACAGTCCCACAGATTCACATGGTATGTGAGTAATAAATTCATTTGTTCAACTACAGTGTGTTCCTAGTGGTCTTTGACCAAAGGACATTGATACTTAATAACCAATATAATCCCCAACCCCAAAAACTTTAAAAAGGGGGGGGGGGGGTTTGAAACTAACACTGAATGTTTAGTATGAAAGAGAATTTTCCTAGATATCACATATCTTGTTATTTACTCCTTGTAACAGGAAACTTAGTTATTCCCATTTTATAAAAGAGAACACTGTGATTCAGAAATGGAAAAGCATGAACTAGACACAAAGGATTTCAAGTTCCTCTACTTCCCCCCTCCATGAACTACTCCTGTCTGCTATTCTCAGAGGAATGCGGCAACATACCAGGTGACGTAGCCATTATCTTTCCTGAGCACATATTTCGCTTCACAGCAATAATAGTAGTTAATAGGTATTCTTAAGGATGTATGTGTCGGCATTATATTAAGAAGTCATTAATCCTCACAACAATCCTATAAGAAGTATTAGCATTTTCCTAACATACATTACTAAACAATGGTAAAAATAGGACTCAGATCCAGGTTAATAAGCCTCAAAAAAAAAGGGGTCTTTCACCCTGAGAGTATCCTAACATTTTATTTGGAAACTTTTTAACATTAACACAAAACAGATTTATCATGAAATAAAGTGCCAAATAGAGTTTCCTTGAGACAGACCACTAAGTCATAACCCCAGACTCACGAGAGAACAAGTTTACTTTCTAATATTAGGAATATTTCCTTGGGGAAAAAAATTTAAGCTCTGCACTGTATCATAATGTTTAAAAGTTATCAGAAAATATAGAATCAATGAAAACAAATTTCTGCATTGCAATGTCTGTACAGTCTAAGACACACTACATGGCCAAGACTCTAGATTAGTATAAAGACATACAATTTTGTTAAGGCTAGATTCAACTTCTTCCTTTCCAATACAACACAGAATTTTCCATACTCTTAAACTTCATCATCAACCTCAAACCCTACCAGTTGGTAACACTAGGGGTAAGTAAATTGTGAACTTTGTATACCATACGTTTGTATGCCAGTAACTTACCTTTCCCTACAGCTTTAGGAAAACAATTAGTTGAGTTTATCAGACATCAGTAAAAAGTTTCTTAAAACATTATGCTAGCTGCTTCACAATAGTAAGTTTGGCAGTAATTTATACTCCTAGGAAATCAAGCCATAAATGTTTGTTTACATTAATTATTGAGGGGACTTAGGTTGGAAGGGCGACATTACCTTTTGACCTGTGGTTACCGAATTCACCAGGTACAGGGACTTTAACAGGGGTTGCTGAACTCTGAATGGTCAGCACACTGGGAGTGGCAGCAGTCGAGTTGGCCTTTGGTCTTTGTCTTGGTGCAATGGAGGTTTCTGTTGGTCCAATGGTATCTGTTATTCTATAAGAGAATACATTTCATTCCAAATATTGGGATTATTTCTCATTTCTCACTCTCAAGTATTCAATGTTTAATGAAGACAAGAAAATAAAATAAACCTAACTGTCTTCCTTAGTTTGGACTCCAGGCCTAAAAAAGATGAGACTCTGCCATGTAACAAGGAGAACTACCTGTCACATTTAACTTCTTGAATTTTAATTTTGCTTTTCTTAAAACACTGAATGGAATTGTATAGAACTTTCCCAGTAAGACTTTCTTTAGGCCACAGACGTGGGCAGTGAAGTAGAAAGTGTAATTCTGAAAGCAAGAGACACTAAATACAATTTGAGAAAACACAGGTATCTGCTCTTCTCTTTAAGAAAAAACAACAGAAAAAATCTTTAACTTACGCATTTACTAACTTTACTTTCCATAAATTCAATATAAGAACTCAAATAATTTTAATAATCATATGCTCACTTTTCAACAAGATTGCAATAAAATCTCTTTTTACCAAGTTCCCTGATATTTTTAAATAATGTAACACTTAAAATTTTGCATACATATGATTTATTAAGTGCACATTGGCTGCCCTGGGTCAAGTGCTGTCTACAAGAACTACACAGATGCAGTTCTTATATAGACCAGAAGAGGGAGCCCTGTGCACAACTATCTAAGAAATAAAGGCAGTTAAAAGATTTTTAAAAATCACAGAAATACACGTGTGCTGTTTTCCAAATATAATATCTATGTCTTAGGTGAGACAGGGATGGTACAAGTCATATAAAAAGGCAATAAAAGATCTCATGTGTGTGTGTGTGTGTGTATCTCCAACTAGATCCCATTTAATAATAATCAAATATTTATTAAGTCGAAATTATGGATGCAGCACTAAAACCAATGCTCCCTACACTCAAGTAATTTAGAGAAAATATTGTATACACTCTGCTTGTCTATCTATTCTTTATAAGAGATCTCACCCTGCCTTGCTCCCGTTTTAAATCTACAGATTGAGAACACGAGTACAGGAAACCCCTGAAAAGCAGACTAAAGTTCTGCAGGCTTTATTTCATGTTCCCTAATTTAGTTACCAATGTACAATATTCTACACACAATTACTGATATCTAGCAAACACAGCACAATACCGGGTCTTTAAAAGAATTTATAATACAAAGGCAGGGGCCAAAAAAAACCCAAAATTTATTTATAAGACACTGTGTATGCATTCTTACATATTTACATTTCAGTCACCTTCAAAGTAATCTCCATTTGATGTAATAATACACCTATCAAGCTGGTTTTTCCACTGCGCAAAATAGTTTTTGAACTTGTCAATTTGAATGCCTTTTGGTGCTTCTGCTGTTTTTTGTTTCACCCTTTCCACACTGGCAAAATGTTTCCCTTTGAGAACTTTTCTCATCAAGGGAGAAATCAGGTGAACAGGGAGGGTGGGACATGAGGGTCATGCCATCTTTGGTCAAAAACTGCTGAACACTCAGCACAGTGTGAGCAGGTACATGCGTAAATCATACGGCATGAAATGGGCAAATGAGCCTTCCGAAAAAAATCACTGAAGCCAAAGACAGCCTCTTACAACAATGCCGTGTCTCATAACACCACCACGCTAGTACACTGATACAGATGTGTTCTTAGCACATTCACCTAGTGGGAGATGCCTGTACTACAAGGAGCCCACCCTCATATACCTAAGGAGATATGAACATGTTCATGAAAATATACAAAATTATTACAATAAAAATAATCAGTGCCACACTAGTACTGTGAAGAGTTTCATGGAGGAGTAATTCTACCTTTAACCTAAATTGGCTAGAGAAGGCTTCAATTAGGAACTGGACATTTAAAACATATATGATTTCATTAGCCTATGGAAAAAAAGTATTCCGTGTGAGAAAATGAGAAGAAAACGCCTGGATAGATGAGACAGAGTGAAGACACACTCTGATTGAAACGAAAGACTGAGCACTGTGTTAACACTGCTGCGCAGCTTCATCTGCACTGATTACAACAGACACAAAACAGTTTTCTCTGCTTCCCTCTCTCTCCTTCCCCCTCTCATCTGAACAACCTTCCTAGAACACAGTTTTTCTCTCCACTTAAAATCCTTCAATTGTTTCCACTGCCAGGACAGAGATTCTCAGTCTTCCCATCTTTAAGATGTCACATAAGTTTCACATGTGACATCTTAAAGGGAAAATGCAGATATTTAGGGATGGAAAGGGCTTTTAAGCAGTAAAGCCAAGTGCCACAGAGTGAAGGCCAGGCAAGAAGATGCACAACATTCATAAAAGCTTTAAAACATGTAAATAATAATACTAGCTATTTAAAGATTTCACCCCACCTCACTCCCAGAAATATAAAGAACAGGCTTTTTTATTGTTTTATACACATTTATATTTTTTCAAGTTCTGAAACTATCAGTATAAAGTAACCAAAAGGCAAAAATGAATCTCATTTTTAATACCTACAATGTATATAGCTTTAACATACTATGAATAGCACTGTGAATTTAGCTGTGTTAACTATTTGCTTATAACTGCATAGCTATAACTCGTGTCATGGTGAAGACAGAGCATTCTTACCCAGCTGACACTTTTGTAGTGTATCTACCTTCTTAAAGATTTAGCCATAAACAAAATAATTACTAAAAAACACAAGCAACAATAAAATTCAACTAACAATTCTACAACAACTCATAATTACCACTCAAATACACCAGCTGCAAACCACAGCTGTGTTACAGACCGGACACACTACCAGTCACGACGGATGCCTGCAAGTTAGATGGAACCGTACTCTTTGGTCTCTTCCTCAAAAGCATTTTAAAATTCAAATGAATGAAGACAATATTGTAGAGTAATGCCATATTTTTTAAAAGCTAAGTTATTCCCAAATGACATTTTAACAATTTATAAATAATACATTCCTTGTAACGCATCTCACAACCAAGTCCCAAATAGAACTGACTGTAAGGTTAGAAATTCACTAGTCTAAAGGCCAAAGGCCAGATTTCTCAGCATTAACATACAAACTTGCTCCTGACTGGCATTACCTAACTCTTCAACTTCAGTTCCCACCACTCCCCAATGCATCCCCTATGCTCTAGTCTTGCAGGCTCACAGAGGCCATTCTTCTTGCCTGAAGGGCCTGTCTGTCACAGTTTCCCTTCCCAGGTGACAGATTATATCGTTCATCTTCCAAGCAACAGCTCAGTAATCCCCAACCCCCGCCTCAGGGAAAAGACTGGGTTCTCTCTGTGCTCCTCTTTGCTCCCCCTCTTTCCCTTCCTCCACTCTCAGAGTTGCCTGGTATCTATCAGGTTGGAATTGTTTATTTGTGTCTATCTTCATAACATGTGAATTCCTTGGGAATAAAAAATGTTTCTTTTTCTTTGCATTTCCACTATCTGTATGTTGCATATAGCAGGTGCATGACAAATATATTTTATGTCCAATAAAATACTTTGCATAGGTAAAACACAATTCAAAAAAGCTAATAAGACCAAGAAATCTCCTCAAATGTAGTATTATAACTGATATTACATATCATAGTACGTAATATTATAATCTAAAATACAGTCAGGCTTATTAACTTTTAAACTAAAAATAAGTATAAGAAAAAAGTTAATCATTAATTCAATCATTACTCAGATTCAGGTCTTAAACTATAAAATGTGTCAAACTTACTAAGAGTAAATAACTGAAAAATGATGTAAAACATTATATTTTTATCAGTCTTAAAAGTATTATCATTAAAACCATTCATTATAATATGTATTATACATAGTAATACACATTTAAATGAATATTAGAACACATAAAATAGTTTATAAATTGAGAATACTCTAAAAAAAGTAGCCTGTAAGAGCTATATTTTCTTTCCTTAAATAAAAAAATCATACTAGCTATAAACTAAAAACATAGCAGTTCATAAATTAGAGTTAACATGTGATAAATAATGACAACCCACCACCAAATGACCCCATGCACTGTAACACTACCGGTTCCATCATCACTTCTCGACTGCTGAGAGAGCAGTTCGCGCAAGACTGATGTCAGACCCTGTCTCTAATACGAAAGAGCTTATTTTATACTTGCCAGCTAAACTCTACACCACATACAACTAGAAACAACATTTTTTGTGCATGTAGGTGATATTTAATTACATTTGCTAGGATTAAAAACAAGATCTCTTATTTTTTAAAAAGCCTTTTCAAATTTCAGCATAGCTTTGCATACCTGGCTTTTATTTGGCTTCTCCTAGAAGCTGCTTCACTAGCAGTCATGGGTTCAGGAAGAGTTGAAGGAATAGAAGAATTCTGGGAAAAAAATAAAACTCCATTTTAGCTTTTATTTTAATTGCAGAACACATTATTTAAAGATTATGGATATGTTCTAATTTTAAAAAGGACTGTCTGTGACATGCTATTCCTTCCACCTCAGATACCTACAAATTGTTCACATATATCTACCTGTCAGATCTAATCTGCAAACATCACCCCATGTTACATAAATATCACTTCCATATTCACGTGCCAAAGAAACCCTTCAAAAATAAACAGAACAATATCACTGTATTCACTTAACAAATTAACAAATCTTGGCTAAAAAGAAAGATTATATTATATTTGTAAATCTATGACTATTTCACATTTGGGGGAAAAAAGGCAAACACCAAGCATATGGGTGAAGTGTTGTTTCTGCATACTGCAAAAATTTTCATGACAAGAACAAAGGTTTTCCTCATTTGTTTATGTTCTACATAATATTTGGCTTCAAGGTACTCGAATGTTTGCTGAATGAAAAGCTATAAATCTATAGTCAAATGTCAAAGCTATTTTTATTACTATAATATTAAACTATATGACTTTCAGCCTCAACAAAGAATATCTGACATAGTAAAGAGTTCAAAAACCAAAATGGAAAGTTACCAATTTTCCTTTTTTTCCATAGTGGAGTGTGTTAAGTTATAAAGAGAGGAAAACTGACAGGAACAAATGAGGCCAGAATGATCTTCAGAAAGCTGAGAAGGGCTTAGAATCAGTGATGATTCTGGACTTTTATTACAATTAGCACAGACCTGCCACACAGAGTTAATCTGATGTAGCTAATTAAATCCAGCGTGCGGACATAGGATATAATCCAAAGCCTTTCAACAATGTTAGCTGTTACTAACTCAGCACCTTTAATGGGCTAGGCCCTGGGTTTACATTCTTATTTGTAGTCCTCATAATTCCTGTATCTGTTTTACAGAAAGGAACAAAAATTAACTAAATTCTCAAAATACAGTCGGCCCTCTTTATCCACGGGTCCAGCATCCAGATTCAACAAACCTCAGATCAAAAATACTACCTAGGTCCTGGCCACTGTGGCTCAAGTGGTGGGAGCTTCGACTTCGTACACCTAAATGTCACGGGTTCAACTACCCCGGTTGGGGCCTGTGTCTACAGTGCAGGTTCAATCCCTGGCCGGGGTGCATACAAGAGGCTACTGATTGATACTTCTCTCCCTCTCTCCACCTCTCCTTTATCCTCTCTCTAAATCAATGAGTATGTCCTCAGGTGAGGATTAAAAAAAATACTACTCAAACAATATCATGTTGCTGCTGACATGTACTATATAGTTAGGCCTACAATGGCTGTATCTCTACTGACAGGTACAGCCATTTTTTTCTTGTCATTATTCCCCATTTAATACAATACAATAACTATTTACATTAGGTACTATACGTAATCTAGAGATGATTTAAGTACACAGGAAAATGTGTGTAGGTTATATGCAAATACATGCCATTCTATGTAAGTGACTTGAGCATCTGCAGATTTCGGTATCCACGGGAGTCCTGGAACCAGTCCCCTGTGGATGCTCAGAGATGACTGCATACAAAACCAGTCACTGATGAAGACAGGTCTCTCCATTTACAATACCTATGCTCTTCACAACAAAGGTAACCAAACTTTTTCAGTGTACAGACTACTTAGTGTCTCAGAATTTTTTCATGATACCCCTGGTTTACCCCCCAAATAAATCAGTATTTTTTTTAATATATTGGCCCAAACAACTTAATAATTGTTATTTGTGCTATGTCAGATTTTCCTCTAAAAAAAAAGCAAAATATCATGTAGTCCCCCACATCTATTATGGCTCCCTAGAGTACAGTACTTCACTACACAATTTAGCAACTATGGCTTTATAAACTGAAAATACTAATCCCAAACACACTATTAGGCTACTTGTCATGAAACAAATAACTCTCAAAGTGTATGTACACATGCACAAACACACAAGTAGCTGCATATAATGAAATAGATTTTAAATTCACATCCCACTTAAGCCCTGGATGGCATGGCTCAGTTGGTTGGGTGTTGTCTCACAAAGTGAAACATCACCAGTTCAGTTCCTGGCCAGGGCACATTCCTGGGTTACAGGCCAGGTCCCCAGTTGGGGCAGTGTGAGAGGTGACTGATATTTCCTTCACACATCAATGTTTCTCTTCCTCTTTCTCCCTTTCTTCCCAGATAGATAGATAGATAGATAGACAGATAAAATCTTTAAAATACTCATATCCCACTGAAAAAAGTTACTTACATTGATATTGGAGACTGGACAATCCTTTTTGGCAAATTTAAATGCGAAATAGGACACTTGAAAAATATCAGGTCTGCGGTCTGGATCTGGTTCGAGCATGAACCCTGCAAGAATAGATTAAAATGTAGAGAAGTTTCACTGAACACAGAAGCTATATAGCGAGCGGCACATTAAAAGGATAATGTGTATGTGTATACATAAATACTTTTCCCATTCTAAGATCAGTGATGATTCAATCAAATTTTGTTAATAGAAAATATAAAAATTGTTACTGATACATAAACTTAAAGCATTATCCCAAACTAAAGACAAATCAGTCACAACTCTATACCAGAAGTATTAACAAATATAAACATTCTTCTGAGAAAGTGAAACAAAACGAAAAGTGAGTTTAGTGAGCGGGGAATTATTCACCAAAGTTCTAGGGCCACAGTAGGAGTCCTTAATTTCACTATTATTAAAAATACATCTAACTAATTTTTAAGTAATCCTGAACCACCAAGAAAATACTAAACTGTGTGCACTGTAATCTAGCAAAGTAGTACAGGACTGACAGTATATTTTACCAAAATTGTGCTTTCTTCCCATACTGATGCTAGGAGGTTCACCACAAGTCTATGTTTCAATGTGTGACATACATCCTGTTCAGAAGCGTGAGCTGAGTTTCATGGCTCTATTAGGAACAGACTTCACACCAACCTACAGCACAGCTTGAAATGGCTGACCTTTTTCTAACCAAAATGACCAACATCATTTGTTGGGTAATTTGTTAAATTTACAAATTCACAAAAAGGTTGACATTTATACTCGCTTCTTTAACTGAAAAACTCATATTTTGTTAAAGCTCTCCATGTTCTAATTCTAACTCTGATTCATTGATTAATTCAGGTTTTTATAATGTTCAAAATCATTATTAAACCAATTCAGAATGTAAGATTAATAGCATTAGTTGGATAACCTTCTGAAATTTGCTAATAAAATTATATTCAAAGTATATAAATGGCTAAATTAAAATTATAAATCAAAGTTAACTCAATCTTTCTTCCAAATTTAAGTAATTTTTAAATTTTTAATACATCGCCCACAGCTCGATAAACTTATTTTGGTTAAAAACAGTTGTTTGGCAAGCAAAAGCACAAACTCGGCAGAAATTTGTGAAATTATGAACTCAGTTTTTTAAATATTCTGCATGTAACCTGATTTTATGTACTGAAAAAGGCTAACACATATAACTTATAGAACTGATTTTTTAAATTATTTTATCAACACTGCTAGATGGTAATAATTAAAAACATGTAATTCTAATATTGACCAGATTATATTCAACCTCATCCTGGAAAAGATTTTGAAGAATCTACTAAGTTTATTGTATCCTCCAAAATCATATTTTATCTTGACACCAACAGATACATAATGTTTTTAAGTAACAATAGTCCATGACATAGGGATAAACTTAAATAGACTTCTAACAATAAACAAAATAGAGAACAAGGGGACAGTGACCAGAGGGGAGAGGGAAGGGAATTTAAGGGGGAAAAAGGGGAGGGATTTGGAGAAGCAAATATGTGTCCTTCAGGACACAGGGATGAGAACTGGGGGGGGGGGGGGGAAATGGGAGGGAGGTGGGGAGCACTGGGTGGGGGGGCTGGGATGGGATGGGAGAAACAGGCAAAAAACTGTACTTGAAAAATAACTAAATAAAATTATTGAGAAAAAAAACAATAAACATTTATCCAAATAATTTTTAAACAAATCACAAGAAACTTCTCAAATTAATATTCTATTTTTCTAAGATTTTAATTTACTTGACTTTCAAAATCAAATTCCAAGAGTAACTAATTATAAATATTTATTCCTATAAATGGCTTGAAGTGCCATATAAACTATAAGATTTTTTAAATATATGAAAACATTATGACTAACAGAAAAGTAGCCCCTTCCCTCAGATACCCTTCCCTGCCCACCCCCCCCAAAAAAAAACGCTAGGATGATGTCAGTAAATAAACTGCATATGATTTGGTCTTATAAATATAGGCCACAAATTTAGCTCTCTACCTTCTAGCTGTCAACACAAATAGGGCAACATGATCTATTACATGAATCAACATGAATCACAGTGTCCTTAACACAAAAATAAACCAGGTGCTAAGAAAAAGCACCACTGCTGATACCAAAAGCCAAAAGTAAATTCTCCTCTGAGTCTGTCTAAACGTGGCTCCAACTGAGTGATCACAATCCTTAAAGAACTGCAGTGAGTGACACTGGGTAATGTTTTACACACGCCTGAGTGGGCCAGTGACACAACACCTACATACAGTCAGGGAGAAGGAATTCTATACATGTAGAGAACAGTACTGTACACCAATACGCTTCTCTGGCTCAACTTAATCGAGAAAAAGCTTCTTAAATATCTGAAGGAAAATAAAATGATCCATCAGGCAATCCTATATCTATCTTCTTTCTCTCATGGTAGATGAGAAGCACTGAAGGAAAATAAACTTGACATTTTATGTTCTCTGACAAATATTTGTATAAGTAATTCTCTCAAGTTCAGCACAGGATGACATTCTCTAACAATTAGGTAGCTAGGCTGTGGGGAGAAGTGGTATCATCTTATAAGCAAACAAAAGGACCCCTAACTCCCTGGCTCATGTTTCCATGTGCAAATACTGTGGGAGCCAGTTTAGTTTGTCTAACTGTAACGATTCTGTTTATATGACATAATTACTAGAATTTATTTTAATAAAATAGAATGGGAAAATATTAGTATGCACTAATGTGGTAAGTATAAGCAATAGTTCATGCAGCTTGTTTCACGCATGTGTGTGTGCACGTGTTCTAGGTCATAACTAAAACCACTGTCTTAGACCACTGTGCTAGTGGCCTCTCTCTATGTCACTCCTCTCCAAGGGAAAGGGAGTGATTTGTTTGCTCGACTAGAAAGAAAAGGCACCCACATATGCCCATCTCTGCTACTCTTTCTTTCTTTCATAACAGTTTACTTTTAGGACATATACGTTCTGTGTAAAACTATGTTTTGCAAGTGGCCTACTTCTGTGGAAGAGGTCTAAGGTTATCCAGAACTGTCTACAACTGGGTGTGAGTAAATCTGAGGGCCGAATGCAGAGGAATGGGCCCATCTGGCGAAAGGTCTAAATTTCATTCATTCTGCAATCTACTCTATCTACTAATGTTAACAGTTTTATTTGATGAGTTCCTATAACCCATCTTTGGTTTGGATCTAAATTCAAAGTATGAAGAGACTGAAACTCACATGTAGAAAATGGCTATATTTTTCTCTCTGAATATTTTTATACTGGATATTATCAGCCATTAAAAAAAGAAGAAAAAACCAAAAATGCACCACGAAGCATTTAATTTAAATAATTTCCCAAACCACCCAAAAGAATGGGTTACAAGATGAACTCCTAGACTACTGAATGATCTAATGTGAAGTGCAAAGTATTTAGAGAGAAATAAAACGATTCATCAGGCGATCCTATGTATATTTTTATTTTTGTTCATTGATCAGCTCTACTCCAGCTAAATACTGAAACATATTGACTAAGAATGACAACTTCGGTTTAATTTTAAGTAACTGGTCCAAAGCCATCTTCTCTCACAATAATTAAACCTTGATTTTAGTATTTGTGTTAACTACCACTTCATGACAATAAAACTATATCATCTACAAAAATATGTTCTTGAGGGGAAGGAGTAAATTAAAAAATGCATGTGTCCAGCTCATCTAAGAGATTAAGTTCAAAAAAGGAAAAAAAGAAAAAGAAAAAAAGACAGAGAACACACTCTTGTTTACCCAATTTAAAGTGATCATATAAATAATCATGAGAACATTTCTGCTGTCCCTGATTCTATTGCAAATATAAAATTGACTTTTAAAAAGGGATCTGCTCCTCTTAAGTGACTCTTTCTACTGACACAAATTCCCATTTATACAACCCGAGAATACAAAGTGATCCCAGCATTAAAGGCAGTGTATTATTAAACCAACACAATACTCCCAACTGACGTATAAGACATATCTGATTAAAAAACACTTAAAAACAACTGAGGCAGCTAAATTAATTATGTTCATATTAATTCTGTGCAGGATAAAGTACAACATCCATGCACATTCCATCAAAAAGAGCAGCTAACAGAGCTGCTGGTACTATAGCAGTGACCAAGCTAAATCATGGTTTAATCAAGGATTAAAGTGAAATATTAAATAAAGGAGTCCCCAGTCAAGTTATACAAAACTATGGCTCCATGCATGGGCCTAAGTAAAGCTATAGCAGCATCTGTAATATAATAGCTCAGCAAATTTAATAGAAAAATATTTTTGATACAAGTGTTAAAAGAATGGCCCTGCTTAAAATTTAATTCTTTTTCGTTCCGAAAAGATATTTTTCTTTGACACAGAATTCCACTTATAGTAATTTACCTGAAAAGACAAACGCCCATTCTAATCTTACAACCAAAAATACTTCAAGCATTCATTTGTTATTTTTGTCTATGGAGATTATTATAGAAACTTGCGTTACATTTATATGTCATACATACCTTTTTCTGTGAACTAAGACACAGAAACCTAACTTAACAGCCATAAGCAATGTGTTCAGTCATAACTAAAACGCTGACTATCTCAGAATATGTACATGTGGGGCAGTCCCGACAGCTGTCTCTGAGTTAGTGACCAGAGCCCTCTCCCTACATCTCAAGTAGTAACCCAGAGCCACTGACTGAAAACCTCCAAGGAAATCCTATCTTGATTCTGATTTCTTTTCAAAGATATATTACAATTTCTGACATTTAAAAAAAAAAAGGAAAAAAGAGTGTGTGAGGGCGTATATTAAACAGGATTTGTCATGAGTGGGTAACCACCAAAGCTGTGACACAGGTACATGATGATTCATGATACCATTCTGCCTATATTTTTTAAAATTTCCATAATAAATGTTAAGTATGTTATAACAAGCAAGTTCCTGGTTTCCCACAGAAAATAATCATTCAATAAATTTATTTATAATCAAAAAGATGTGTTGTTGAGATGTGGAAAAAAGAGAAGCCTTGTACACAGTTGGTGGAAATGTAAATTAGCACA